ATATCATTTCCAAATTCGATGACATCGAGCGATACATTTCAAGGAAACACCTAGCAGTCAGATGCGGAAAACAAATGGACATTACATCATTCTTTAAGAAAAGTGATTAAAATGTGTTTAATACTGTGTGCTATCATTCGAATAAACTTTACTGCAAGTGATATCAGTTTGTAAACTTGTTATCGAATAATCGGTAAATTAAATAAACGTGCTAACTATTCATAAATTGTGTGCTTTTATAAATGTGCTATTACTCTCACAAAATGATTGCTATGAAATATGTTCATGTAATATGTGTTATTATGCAATGTTAAAGTACTAAATAAATAAATAAATTAGGTTAGAAAACAACGTTTTTGTTTTAGTGGTGTATAACTGAGTAAACCTCACTATGTGTTTATCACATAGCACCTAAATGCTGTATTTCCGCTGGTAAACATCCGTTAAATTATGTAACAAATTGTTATTTTTTATTATAAGGATTGACACAAGATTATGAAACATCGTACTTATTTGACTTATAAGGTATGCGCATGTCTTCTGTAAAAATTAGTTTTTGACATGTTCAAACCCTCATACGTTTATCTCGACATTTCGTTATCTCGATATTTTTTTGACGGTCCCGAAGACTTCGAGATAACGAGAGTCGACTGTATATGCAATGGTAGATACGAACTTGTAAATGTGTGTTAGGTCAGTTGTTAAGATTTACATGTAAACTTGTTATTTAAAAGCGGGTGCCTTCAATTAAAATATTGGATTAAGAGGCATATCATTTGCTGTGCACGAATGCAATCAAAAATGCTAGACATACATGTTCGCATTTTCAAAAGTAGTTTTCAAAAGGAACACATTACATGTCTGGAATTATGGCAACGATCGCCCTCCATACTAAAATGCATATTCTTTTGCTGTTCTATGAAAAAGGCGTATACATCTTACTGCAATGGTGAAATTTGTTGCAAGATAAGCACTCACTAGCTGTGGCTTCTACATTTATTCAGGTACTAGAAGAACCTATAGCAAATATAATGATAATAAGACAAATAACAAGGAGAGATTTACAAAAGACGAATAATACAATTCACATTTCACAATTTCGATAACAAAATATACATTATTCACAATTAGCAATACAATAAATACACATACCAGGTGTTATGTAGAGGAGATCTTCAAAATATATAAATTTTGAATTAAAACTGAAATTTCTATAAAGAAAGAAAAACAACAATATCGTAAATATTATAAAGTGCTGTTATTACTTTGAAGGCATTGAGAGGAGTGGTCAGTTACTTTGAAATTTTAATTAAAGCTATCCCAGAACCAAATGAGCCACATCACGACAAAACCAACATAGTGCGTTTGCGGCCAGCATGGATCCAGACCAGCCTGCGCATCCGCGCAGTCTGATCAGGATCCATGCTGTTCGCTATCAGTTACTCTACTTGGGTTGGTAAGCGAACAGCATGGATCCTGATCAGACTGCGCTAATGCGCAGGCTGGTCTGGATCGATGCTGGTCGCAAACCCATTATGTTGGTTTTGTCATGGCACGGTCCAATCAGCTAAGATTAAGTTTAATACAAAATCGATCAATCATCACTGAACTTGCAGAACCAGTTCGAAATCACCCAACATACAACACGCCAATGAATTTGGTCTGTTTTTACCGTAAACACTATGAAATACGAGACTTGAATATTTCATATCATACCGTGCTCCTTTAAACTACTTGGGTCTTATTTCCAGATAACAAGCATAAGCATGTAAAACATAGACAAATTCACTCAAACTAGCCTAATTTTGCATAACTGCTACATATATCCAAGACCGAAGATCTTTAAAAATCAGACGACAATTAATAAAGTTTGATTTTAATGAATATAGATTCCGATTTTAGACTTGATAAATTTATTGAGCGCGGGTTCATATCTTATATTTTTAATAACATTATTTAGTACGATTTTATAAACTTAGTAGATCTAATAGTTCATGTCATATATTTTGTAACTATAACGATAATAAACACTTCATTTCATGACGGTAACATATAACGAAATACAGTTTTAATTTACAATGTAAACAAGATTTTAAAAAATCTACATATATATGTACACACATATCAAAAATATAAATAACAAACATTACATGCATGCATCAGATTCATTTAAGCTATATATCAAGTAAATATTTTGTTAATATATCTTTTAAAAACATAATTATAGAGACAAAGACTCTTTAATGTATAAATGTAAATTATTCCATAATTGTATAGCATTAATTCTAAAAGTTTTTTGAACATATTTTGTATTAGATCTTACATGTTTTATGTTTGTACTTGCAGTTGATCTAAGTGAATATGTTTCATTTTTTTAGAACACTAGGGTATCTGAAATGTTGGAAGGAGTCTATCCTTGCATAGTTTTAAATACTAATAATGCTGTATGATACGTGCATCTTTATGTAAATATTAGTTGCAATATAAAATATTATTCAATTAAATACGTGCATCTATTTTCCAAAGCTAACCAATTTAATTTATAAAAGAAAAGTCTAAAGATGGCGTTTAACTGGTTTACACAAGATAATCTGCGCGTTTCTGCAGTTTACCCACTTTTTCAAATTCAGTTTTGTTACAAGTATTCCATAAAATGCAACAATAATAAAAAAAACAAGGTAAAATATAGGCATTGTAAAACAATCCTTCATTTCAGCGGATAAAAAGTACGATATACGCTTTAAAAGGGCAATTTGGTTCAGACGCGCTTTATTTGAATATTCCATTTTAAGTTTTCATCTAAGTAAAATACCTAATAACTTTTATGATTTCGTTTGACTTAGGCATACAACCCTGAACCTTTCGCTTTTCTCCTGTCGACTTTACGACGAGCTACTTAATCAAATGTGGGTTATGTTTGACACAAAAATGTCTAAGGAAGAAAGTACCGACTAAAGAAAATAAATATTTCGCCTCAGTTTACCCTTGGACTAATAATAAACGTTATTTTTGGTCCTAGGTATACCAAATGGGCAAATCATCTATACGTATAAGAACATAAGGGCATTGTAATGAAGAATATAAAGATTAGGTACGATAGAACTACGCTGTCGCGTCAAAATTTCAGATATTCTTTAGAAATAATGATCAAATGTGGTTATTTAGCGTTTATTTTAGTGTCAAGCATACACAGTACCTTAGTTTGAGTTTTAGCGAAAGGAGTAAACTAAAATAGGGAGACACAGGCAAAATTTTCATTTCTTAGGCAAAATTTTCATTTCTTAGTTTTGAGTTTTTCATTCCTAATTCTGTAAATGCCCTCAAAATGAATATATTAGACAGTCAAAGGAACAAAACTTTTCTCCATATAAAGAATAAATTAAATGGTGGTTTCCTAACTAGACCCGCGTGGGTGAGGTTAGAGCGCTAGGAATTCACAATAGTTGTCAAAGTGAACTCTGGAAACGTTAAAGAACATGTCAAATGTATGATTAAGACTTGTTTTAATCATACAACATCCATAATATCTGTTATTGTAACTTTAAGGGTTTGTTCAAGACATGTGACTTGTTTTAAAACTATTTAGTGATTCTATTCGGGTCTAAATTTTGTTCAACATATATAGATATACCCAAAATATTAAGAATTTAAACAGAAATTCATGCTGAAACTTCAAGAAATGTCATTTTAGCGTGATTTGAGTAGATAAGATCATTTTAATATTTTTGTCATTATTTTGCCTGATTATCCCTTTAATATTAGAAGTTGCAGGCGAACCAATTAACTAATAACAAATCGAGTTATCTGATTGGTTGGTTTAAATAGATATTGAACTGTGATGAACTGATTCTGATAATTTAATGTTATGTGTTTAATTACAACGTAAGATTTGGTAAATTCAGAGTAAAATCGTTCAATATATTTTGGTATTTTCATTACATTGAAGTCACCACGAGAAACATGTACCCAAAGACTCGTGTTGAAAATGAAAGAATGGATAGTTAACACTAATTAATAAAATTGGAACCGATGTATTCCTATTATATAACAGTCACATAAAACATCTTATTTTGGGCCTTTTCCGTGTCAGGCGCATGTTTCCTCGGTGCAAGTAAGTGCCAGGGAAGTAGACTAGAAAGTATTGCAAGTTGCAAAACTTTTCTTAATCCAGCTCGGAGCTAATATCTGTTTGAAATCTTCATATACATGTAGGTTTGACATTAAGCTTTAACAAGAGCAGTTACTTCAAAGTGACATTATGCTCTTGTAATTCAGTTGTTGAATTTGAACTGACATACGTAACGTATCATTCATTGAGTATGCTCTGGCAAAGGGCAATAAATCTGAAAGATTTTGAAGGAAATCCAGTTTTGACTCCCTCCTCCAAATTTCTCTGTGTAGACAATACCAGTGTATAAACTTTGCTGCAGGCGCATGAAAGTCATCACTCAAGTTTTAATCTAAACGAAACTTGAAAATGATTTGCACTAGGCTTGATGGGTGTCATTCCAAACAGTCACGTGGCTGTGTAGATAGAAGTATTGACAAGATTGTACCAGACAAAACTGTGCAATGCACAGCCATGTTTGCGAGAATCACTTCCCGTTTTTTTGTGACTGTGCAGATCATGCCCGTGCAAGATTGTATTGGAAGGACAACATACAGACAATACATAACAAGGTATTAAAATAATCACCAATAAAGGAAAATCTAACAAAATGTTTAGTATAAACCAATTTATTTTAGTTCGACTGTTGGAAGCTATTAACTTATTTAAACACTCGCATCCGTTCCCGGAACCAACCAGTACTAAGCAATGAATGTTACTTACTCAAGGAAACAACGGCTTGTCCCTTCATTAACAAATCGGCCATGCCGCCTATCAGATGCTGCGGAGATAAAGCAGAGAAAATAATGTACTGGACAACAGGGAGACAGTTCCACATTGTTTGGGCATAAGAATAACAAAAGTATGTCTACCATATAAATAACATTTATTAGGTTGCAATATTATTATCTTAAACAATGAAAAGAAGATCATGAATACATCTGTAAACCTGCTGCAATAAAACTTCTTTACATGTACAAATCATCACCTTAGTTCAATAACTGGTTAACTCCTATTAAATTTAGAAGTACTTAACCAGTTATTGCACCATACTTTTTTGAAATTACAGTACATTGACGTCAATATAGTGTTTACAAAACACCATTTCTGATACAAACACTGGCAATCTATAAGCTAGAAAATTGACTGTGAATTTAAATAGATGTTCGTTTCAACAAATTTTGATGAAAATAACATGTTATTTGCCTCAAATGTCTTCCTATAAACAACAGTAACACGTATTGCAATAACAAATATTTACAAATAACCTATATTTTCCACAGAATCATCAAATATCAACTGGGTTTCTATATATAACATAAAAACAGTTACAATCGGCATAGCATTTTAATAAATACAAATGTATATGTTCAGATGATTTACAAATATTTCATTTTAACATTCAGTCTTTATTTATGAAATAAATTATGTCACTAAGTTTAACAAAAACTTAGCTAAAATGCAAACACTTAATACCACATGTAAAATGACAAGGTAAATGGCAGTTGTAATTCCAAATCTTTGACTTTAAAAGAAAATTAATGTCATTTGCACAGTAGGTTTAATAATGCTTCTCAGTTTTGTATGAATATAAACACCATTTGATTAAAAATTTAAAGACACATTATGCCCCAGAAACTAGTAAATTTTCACTTGTTTATCATAAATCATAACCTGTCTACTCAGAGATTTAAATAAATATAGAGTATTTTAATGAATAACAACATTTTATTTCATGCTTTCCAGTGTTTTATTGTAATATATCAGATGATTATATTCTGATAAACCACTAGTGAAATTTATAAAATATAATTTTCACTGTAGCCGGACTATATCTGAATGCGGATGAACAGAAAATCATAAATAAATGGAATAACAGGCAGCAATAAATGCCGTCATACGTAAAGTTTGCTTCTTTAGAAAAAAAAAGTCAATGTCATCATACATCATGTAAGAAATTTAACAAAATTAGAGAAATTTAACGGAACTAGATTTCAAAACTGATTATGTGACGTCATGATATTATGACGTCACAAAGGAGAATGCGCGACGTTAAGCGGCAAAATCATTAAATAATTACTTAAAATCACTTAAAAAGCATAAAATAAAAAGAAAATTTATTTGTTTTACATATAAGATTGAAATATATTTCATTCGTGAACACCAGCTATTATATTTTCACTCGTGGCTACGCCACTCGTGAAAATATTGCATCTGGTGTTCACTCAGTGAAATTATATTTCAATCTTACATGCAAAACAAACAAATATCCTCTATATTTTTTCTGGTTCGGTAAAGTTATGATTAATATATATTACGTGTAGTCAGAAAAGATTAAAGTTAGATGTACAAACAAATAGTAAAATCATTATTATTACATTCATTTCTTTTATCTTTCCATAACAAAGTCAAATAAAATAAACTGGCGTGAAAAGGACGTGTGTACCTTTGAAACTCTATCTATAAATCTTTTTTGTGTCATAATAATACCATACAAATCATCTCCCAGGTATCTTTTTGATTGCTGGCAAATCTTACACTTAAAACAGTACAGAAGAAATGAACTATTTACAAAAAAAAACAAACAAAAAAAAAAAAACGCTAGAAAAACTCATAATAAACCAACAAGCAATAACAGTTTTGATACAAAAAATTATCTTCCAATTCATAACATTGAACAATTCATTATAAAGGCTAACTACTAGTAATCATTGATAGTATATAACAATAGTTCTATTCTCTCCGTCAACTCCATCAAACACGTGCTGCAATGCCGCCGGTACTGTTCCGCCCTCACTTGACTGGGCAATCTCAATCAAATCCGACACGATGGAAGCATCGGAGAGGTTCACCTGTTGGACCTCGGTACCCTGAACTAGACTCTCCATGGGCACTTCTGTGTACTCCTCTACGTACTCGTCCGGATCTAGCGGCACAGGCTGGGCCTCTCGGAACAATTGTATATCTGGATGTTTCACCCTATTGTCACAGCAAGCTGTATCAATTAAATAAACAAAAGGTCTTCAAATTAATTTGCCCCAGCAGTAATAATGCAGAAATATTGTGTTCTGAGAAATTGATACTTTTTAAGGCCGAGATTTTATCATTTTAAACTACACAACACTAAGGTCATCTGACAATTATTTATCATTACTTTTGGCTTCATCTATTTGCATTATTTCAAACAAAAACTGGGAAATATAGCTGACGCATTTTTTTGTACAGATCTAGTAGTTAAGATATATACATATGTTCTCCCTTGGGAGCAAATAAAAGTCTGGTTTATATCTTAATTCTTGCTTTGAATCCAGAAAACAACAAAGATCAAAAATGTAAAAAAACAAACCAGGTGACCGTCCAGGTGGCATCTTCTCCTCACTGTTGTGTTTTGTTTTGAGGTGATATTTGAGAGCCACACGTTGAATAAAACCTTTACCACATATAGGACACTTGTTTGGTTTTTCTCCTAAAATAAAATACATAAATCATATAGAGCAAATCATATATTGCCCATGTGTTTAATGTACTGGTATATATCTCCCCATTTTCTTTCTGTTCACCAAAAAATTTGAGAACATTCTAAATGCTATCTTTGTAATGTACAAGTATTCCTTACTTATGAAACTTCCTCGTCTAGCAAAATCATATGATCTCTATATACAAATTGTTACCTGACCGCAATGTAATTTTAAACACATCACTGAGTGAATACAGGTTTCATTGATCTCTCTTTTAACAAATTCAAAAACTCCGTCAAAAAGTCCCATTTCTTCACAAAATTGTACAGTATGAAGAAATTATAAAACTTAGTAATGACTCTATTCTTAATCTGTTAATGTTTATTAAAGTTTAAGAGGAATTTCTTGAATATAAAACGATAAGCCTGGAAACTTAAGGTCATTTAGGCATAATTTTATTTTTACATTGGTCAAATTCAACTGATTATAAATAGGTAAATTGAGTCCAAGTAAGAAGGCTCTAACTTATTGAATGACATATTATGACCATTTGCCTACAGGATGACAGGGCAGAAACAAGAATATTGGTAACATCAATGAATGCTTCACCTCCCAGTCACTTTAAAAAAAGCTAAAAGCATGGCCTAACTATAATGAAACATAAATATTTAGATTACAAGTAAATAACTGTATGTATGTAATGTATGTATGTAGGTGTATGAATACTGTAAAGTATGACAGAAGAACAAACTCGCACCTGTATGTTCCATATAACTCAAAGCAGGGACATTTAACCCATTACCCCATGAGCATTTTGTGAAAAAATGGCTGTTTTCATTGAAAAGTCTCCCGTTACAAGTTCAAGTTGCTATAAAACTATAAAAACTGCTTCAATACTAATCAAACTTGGCACAATTGTTGACTGGACCATTGCCTTTGTAACAACATGCTCAGTCTGAAATTTCCTGTTACCATGGCAACTAGGGGCCATCTCAAAATTGCCAAAAATCACTATTTTGCGTTGATTTTTTCCATCAAAATTGATTTCAAAGTGCTGCCACTTCTCAATGGATTGAGATAGACTCAAAGGCTTTTCAGCATTGGTTACACGTTACCTTATGATCGACCTGGGGCCATTTTTAGCCTCCCACAAGTCCAAAATTTTCTTGGCGATGAGGGGGACTCCGCCCCCCTTCAAACCCCCCAAACAGAAGGGGGCACATCCCCCTTCTGGCAACCCCCTGATGTATCTTTTGGATGGGGGGCCGCGCCGAAAAAGTGGTCAATTTTTTCAACAACATTTCTCAAACAAAAACAAGTGTTTGGGGGCCTAAATAAGGCATTTTTTCACCATTTGAGAAAGCAAAAAGGGGGGGGGGGGTGAAAAAGGCGTAGAAAGGCGTATATATCTGGTAATGGGTTTAACAGATTCTAAATTAATAGTCATAATCAATGTTAACTTCTGAATGTACCTGTATGAATACAATAATGTTTCCTGAAGGTAGCTTTATCATTGAGAATTCTATTACATCCTGGCCATTTACATTGAAGTCGTCCCACTCTCCTGTGTACAGATCTCTCATGACTCAACATTGACTTCTGTGATTTAAAACGTCTCTCACATTTTGGACATTGGTAAGGGAAAAGATTAATATCTGAAATAAATAAACAAAAATATACACCAAGATAAGCTTCTTGTCATTTCATACCTGATGATGAAGATACTTATTTGTTCTAAGGGATAACTCTGACAAAAAGGAACTGATTCACCAGCTCGCCCTATCAAAAGAAGTAATTATAATCAAATACTATATTTAACTTGTTTGTTTAATTTCCATGCAGATTTCAATCATTTTGGTTATATCTTGGTAGCCAGTCAACCAAACAAGCTGTCCTGGATAACTAACCAGTAATTTACCAATTTTTTTTTCACAAGTGACAAAATCACAAATGATTTCTAAATCAGCTGTGAGAGACAAAATGATCGTAAGAATCAATGTCCTAGATCAATTATCACGAAGTATTTCATCTGTAATTAAATTCAATAATGTTTAGTGAAAGTAACACAACAGAAAATATTTGTTATCCAATAATGAACATAATATCTTATTCCCACTGAAGATTTCAGTAATATTCTGCAATATTGTTCATTAAAATGTTTTTATAAAATAAACCAAACTAATATTGTCAAGATTATTCTATCATCTACAATTCATTTCAGTTATAATTCAAGATAAATAAATATCGCGGAATTTTCATCAAAACAAATTGACTCTACTGTCTAGAGAATTTTAATGTGTCAATTTCAGCCCCCAAAAGTTTCAATTTTGTATGCCCATATTCTCCGGTATATAAGTAAAGAGAAATTAAAAAGAAATGAAGAGACATACTTTTTTATTCTGAAAAGCAATTATCATGGCTAGAGGTGAACCATTTAGTAAAAGTAATAAAGAACAGAAAAATTCACTGAACAATATTTAGATGTAAAACCAATACAGATGCAACTGTCATTCGAAATTATTTGGCAAGCCAATTAACACTTAGCCTGCTGGCAGCAATGTAATTTACCCATGCAACCAGCACAAACAAAGATCAGCTGGCACATCTGAAATCTGTAATGTCTGATGATGGTCTGCACTGGTCAATATTCAGCACTTATATTTTCCCTACAAATGTTAAATGGGTTTTGCCCACATTGAAAGATGGACAAGTCAATTTAAGAAATTAAGGGTGGAAAGTGTTTATACCTTCATGTTGTGACATATGCCGTTTACATTCAAAACTTGTCCTAAATGCGCTCCCACATTTTTCACACTGGAACGGTTTATTGTCTGTATGTATCAACCTTTTGTGCTTCTCCTTGGCAGCAAATCCTTTGAAAAGTTTTTGGCAGATTTCACACTCTGTGTCCTTTTCCATATGTACATACTTCTGATGCTCGTATAAAAACCCTGTTGTGTAATAATGCTTAAACATTGTATTATGCTAAATATGAAAACAACTAGAGTTAAACAAATATCAAGGTCATATAATAACACAAAAAATACCTGTGGAAAAGCTTTGATAAGAACTCTTTGTGGCCAAATTGTATACCTCACCCAACTCAAGAATCGTTGTTTCTAGTTTCGTTTTTTTTTTTTTTTTGGTTTAGGTTTTATGTTACACCAACACAGAATATGTCATTTGGCTACTTTCCAGGTATTCTGGTGGAGAAAGGCCTCATCTGCCCTTCCATAAATTATTTCAGGCAGAAACAGGTACCTGAGAAGAACCACTTACATTCCATAAGCTAGCTTCTGAGCTTTCTCACACAAAAGAATCCAAATGCCTTACTGGGATTCAAACTCACAGCGGTGAGCGATCACTGTTTTAAAACCTACTGGAGGCAAAATCATGTTTCCTCATGTAACACCAGTACAGGTAAGTTCCAGGATGCAGGCTAGAGAGTGGTAAAAGTAAACTGATGCTTTTTCACAATATGGTTTAAATATGTAATGCTTAAGCTTATTATCACTAAAGCAAATCACCATTAAGGCCATCATCAATGAAATCTTCAAAAGTCACATGGTGACACTGACTTTCTGGCTTAACTGGTGGAGAAAGATCTCAGGTGCACCTCTGTGCATTATTTCTGGCAAAAGCGGGCACCAGAGTAGAGCCGCCAATGTTCAGTAAGCTAAGTGGGTTACTTCTTCACATGAAGGAAATTAATATCCTTACAGGATTCCAACCAACAGTAATGAGTGGCTAGTGCTTCAAAGTCACTCTGCCAAAGGCACCTAAAACAAATAATGTAACAACGAACCAACATCAGTAAAACAAATTATCATTAGTTGTACAAATGATTTACTTAATAATGTGTCTTTCACTTACTTTTACATGAGTAAGTCTTTTTACAAATGTCACATGGATATTGTTCATCAGAGTGGGCAGCTCGTAAATGTTTCTGAAAGAAAATAAAAGTATGCATTAGACATGAATGTTAACAGTTGCTGTGCAAAATGCAATGCCTCTGTATACTAAATAATAGTAAACAAAAGTAAAACGGGGGAAATGATTTGAAAAAAACTTGCTTGAGGTCTACTGATGATACCTCATGCAAAATACTCAGGCCTTATGGTAATGTAGAACTAAATTTATTTCTATTATTTCTCTCGATACCATTCAAGCAGATTTCTGCACAAAATCAAATTCTTTGAATAAATTTGCAAGTTATTCACCATACAAACAATTCTGTCACCAGGCTTGTAGTTTTTGAGAAGAAAACTGTTGAAAATATCTAAATATTCTATATATTAACAAACACACATATACATTAACATGGAAGTCAATCCCTATATCCACTGCATCACAGATACTGCAGTGGCAAAAAATAACACTATTCAACACAATAGGCATTTCAGCCTATCTACTGTTACCTAGGTTACTGTGCAGCAATTGCCTTTAAATATAATATCATGTATCCATGTTTTCAACAATTAATGAAATAGGAAGCATGACTCATCACTTACAGCTAAATACTCCTGTTGAATTGTCTTGTCACATTTAGGACAGACAACTTTTGGTTTTTCCCCTCTCTTCCTGGCAACGGGCTGTGCTGAGTCACAGAGAGCTATTATGTCCGCCTCCTTGGCATATCGTGTTAACTGTGACTTCTTTTTCTTCCCTTGATGAACATATCTCTTATGATCAGCTAAATAACCTGAAATATCAAACATAGTCTAATTCTATCAAACAAACACTAGTATGACACAAGATTTTATGTAGGTCCATTTAACATTATTTTTTTAAAGTTGACATTTAAATTAAATTTATTAAAGTAAGTCATTCAAGGAGTATAGAATTTATAGTGTGGACATAAAATTGTTTCAATTACCTTGTTGAGGGGATCATTGCTTGGAAATCCTTTAAATAGTATAGGACTTATACATTGGATACACATCAAGGTGAGCTTGAACCTGCGTTGCAACTGTGAACAGCATGGGTTTTTCACAGGATTAATAAACTGATCATGGTGGAAATGGACAGATTGATTGACTTCTCCACATGTGGTTGGGATATAATAGCCTTAAACTACATCTCTTTCAACTATCTTCCAGAATGTATTTTTTTACATTTCAAATTATTGAATTGAAACACTGAAAATACATACCATTATATGGGAAGACTTTATCACACTGGTCACATGGGTACTTTTTATCAGAATGTAACTTCTGGTGATGTTTCTGTAAACAAATTAAAATACAGCAAAATGGTAATTTGTAGTAAAAATTTCATCTATATTTTTGTAAATTGTAATTGAAATATGGACAAGCTTACAACCATAACAAATCTAACTAGAACTATCACTAAATGTGATTAATACCCCCACAAGTCTGCTTCGGAAATGAGGATGTTACTAGTAACAGAATACCTTGTAAAAGAATTGAAACATAGTGTTATGGTTGTGGGCAATTAAAGATAATTGTGGTTCATGTATGTTGCATTTCCTTTCAATGTGGTTGGCCATTGATGAAGTTTAATTGAATTACTCTGTAATAAGTCCAGAAAGACAAAGAAAAAGAACAAAGGGCAAACACTCTATAAATACTGAAGATAGAGTTATAGTTCTTGTGCACTGCACTTCCTCTTATTGTGCTTGACCATTGTATGAAGTTGTTTTGAATTCCAACCAGTACGTTTTAAGTTATGCTCCGGACAAGGAAAAGTATCAAAGGGCAGTAACTCTGTATTTTTGTCAAAATGGAGTTATGGCTCTTGTGCACTGCACTTCCTTTGAATGTCCTTGACAACTGTATGAAGTTGTACTGAATTCCAAACAGTAGTTTTCAAGTTATGCTCTGGACAAGGAAAAGTAACAAAGGGCAATAACTCTGTAATTAGTCAAGATGGAGTTATGGTTCTTGTGCACTGCACTTCCCCTTATTGTGCTTGACCATTGTATGAAGTTGTTTTGAATTCCAACCAGTAGTTTTCAAGTCATGCTCTGGACAAGGAAAAGTAACAAAGGGCAGTAACTCTGTAATTAGTCAAGATGGAGTTATGGTTCTTATGCACTGCACTTCCTCTCAATGTGCTTGACCATTGTATGAAGTTATAATGAATTCCAACAATTAGTCTTCAAGTTATGGTCCGGACAAAAGAAAGCAATGGAAAAGTAATTAAGGGCAATAACTCTGTAATAACTTTAGATAGAGTTATGGTTCTTATGCACTGCACTTCCTCTCAATGTGCTTGACCATTGTATGTAGTTATATTGAATTCCAACCATTAGTCTTCAAGTTATGCTCCGGACAAAAAAAAAGGCAATTGAAAAGCAACAAAGGGCAATAACTCTGTAATTACTTTAGATAGAGTTATGGTTCTTGTGCACTGCACTTCCCCATATTGTGTTTTACAATTGTATGAAGTTGTTTTGAATTCCAACCAGTAGTTTTCAAGTTATGCCACGGACAAGGAAAAGTAACAAAGGGCCATTACTCTGTAATTAGTCAAGATAGAGTTATGTTTCTTACGCACTGCACTTCCTCTCAATGTGCTTGACCATTGTATGTAGTTATATTGAATTCCAACCATTAGTCTTCAAGTTATGCTCCGGACAAGGAAAATGCAACGGACAAAAAAAAAAGCAATGGAAAAGCAACAAAGGGCAATAACTCTGTAATTACTTTAGATAGAGTTATGGTTCTTGTGGACTGCACTTCCCCTTATTGTGTTTGACAATTGTATGAAGTTGTTTTGAATTCCAACCAGTAGTTTTCAAGTTATGCCCCGGACAAGGAAAAGTAACAAAGGGCAATAACTCTGTAATTAGTCAAGATAGAGTTATGGTTCTTGTGCACTGCACTTCCTCTCAATGTGCTTGACCATTGTATGTAGTTATATTGAATTCCAACCATTAGTTTTCAAGTTATGCTCCGGACAAGGAAAATGCAACGGACGTCTGGACCGACCGACCGACCGCCCGACCGACCACCGGGTGACTCCTATATACCCCCCCAAACTTCGTTTTTGGGGGTATAAATACACTGGAGCCGCGATATAGCGCTCATGTTGGGGTCCATGATCTCAAGACAGCGTTGTAACGAGTAACTTTTTATAACGCTCATTGTGTAATTATAGCGAAAATATCGCATTACCCCACCCACCGCCGAAACATATAACGCTTGTTACTGGAAATGATTGTTTACTTACCTTCCAATGGATATCAGTCCAAGCTTTTTTATATATTATTATTAATTATTTTGTAAAGCATTACTGAATATCTTTAATATAAACATGAAATTTACGAATTAAAAATATAAACCAGGAATGTACAATTGTTTATAAATTTCCAGTAAAACAGCGGTGTTAACGTGTGTTATGTGTGGTCATGAAAATTGATACCTAGTGGATGGGACTAAATTAATCATCTTTCCTGCTGTCTCTTGTGAAAAAATCAGTCATCCTCAACAACTTTTTAGCCGATAGATCGAAAGTAATTGCTTTTTAAAATTAATTGTACGCTTGGGTGATTGATTTACTTAACTCTTCGGTGTTTGCATGTTTTAGCTAACAGTTTGATACCTGACTGAACAACAGTTCAAAATGAACAAAAGAGCGGATTAACGCTTACCTGTGTATGACTTCACACCTTCTTATCATGAGTGACGTAATTATGACTGTTTATTGCACTCGACTGACACATTGAACAAGCGTTATAGTGGATAAGGTGCGGTATTGATATACATGAAAAAAAAAATATAATCGGCGAAAAATACGATTTTTTTGGGGGGAGCCAAGGCATATGAGCGTTCTACTGAGATTAGCGCTATACCGAAGAGCGCTATATCGCGGCTCCAGTGTACTTCTATTTCTTTTAATTTAAAGCAGAACTGATAAAACTTCAATTGAATTTATACAGGTGTAAAAAAAATCTGCTTTTTTAAGATCAGACAGCTAAAATGAACATGGGAAAGTCTCAAGTTCTTATTTAAGTTATTGACAACAGTTATGTTGGTTAGTTTTCACAAGTAAACATCAGGTACAGAAGCTGTTTTAGAGCTGACAATATGATTTTTTTATATGTAATAGGAATAACAGAATGGCTGTCAGCATTTCCTAGCAGACTTTTGCCTGCATATTTTACAGCTTAACACAAGCACTTCAAGCAGAGATCTTCTTGTTTGCATTTTTCAAAAGCTTTTTTCCTGCAGTTTTAGCAGCTTTTTGCCTGCTTTATAACAGCTTTTTGACTGAATTTTAACAGCTTTTTGTCTGCATTTTAGCAGCATTTTGCATACGGTGTGTCAATATAAGCTTAAATAAGACTTTTTTTAGAGGGGCCGAAAGCGTTGGTACTGACATGAGCAGTGTGAGCAAAAACTGATTTTCCTTGCATTAACTTACCACTAAATAATGCCTTAATAGTACTTTTTTACACACTGGACATTCTACTTTTGTATTGTTACCGTCTTCTTCACCAACAAGAACGGCTTTTTCTAAAATGGCCCGAGATTCAGCTTTGACATGCCTTCCAACCTTAAAACCTAGTCCTCCATCATTGCGAATCTTCTTTATACCCTCATGAAAGAACCTTATATGATCTGTACGATATCCTGAAATAATAAACAACATCAATGATATCATTGGGTCACAGTGGTATCTATCACTTGAAGCATCTGAACAATAGTCAGAAATTGTTACAAATCCAAACTTTCACTATTCCTTTCTATAATATATTAGCAAAATTCCGCAAAAAAGGAGATAAAAAGTCACAAACAAAAGGATAAGCCTAAGGACTCTTTGTGATAATAGTTCTGTTTGTTAAAGTTCCCCTATACAGCCACTTTTTCACATTCAACAATATTATTACCAGATTTTTCCTTCAAATAACTGGTTAAAAATCAGGTCCAATTTTTATTCATATAAAACTTTTGATTAAAATATCCTTGACCTGGCCATCCTTGTTGCCAGACTTGGTACCAATAGAAAACATCTAGGTGGAGCTCTATAGACATGGATGCATGTGTATCCGTACAAGGGTATACTGTACATATATACACAGACAGTTGTGCAGTGATCATTCACAAATATTTAAAACATTTGTGAGAGATCTAAGGAGTAATCTGCACCACTATCTAGGATATATACATTACTTTTAATTAGAGAAACTTTATCTTAATTAGATATTTACCTTTATTGGAGAAAATCTTTCCACAGACATGGCAAGGAAATTCTTCATCTGAGTGAGTTTTTTTGAAATGTTGCTAAAATACAATTGTAATAACGAAATAAGTGAATGAATATTGTTAACAATTTTATAAATATATACCAATATATAAGGCAATCTGTAAGAAATAATTTGCACTATCATACAACGCACCATACTTGTAGTTTAAAACTAGCATTAATGAAGATATTTTAACATCTATTATTCATTCATGTTAATTTAGTTCTGTTTCAAAACTTAAAAGTAATAATAAAGGCGTTTGGATCATGCATTATGCAAATGTATGTACAGCTATTATTCTTATCAGTGTTAATTATTGTTTTAATGTTTTCAATTGAGAAATCTAGGAAAAATGAAAACATCCAATATGTTTTAGAACAAAACTTCTTCTAGCTTTAGACTAACTTACATGTGCAACACAGTGACATCATACTACAGTTAAAGCCAAAAGGTGCATTACAAAAATGAGTGGAATTTTCAATCACTATTAGGAATGTTTAGCTATATCTCATATATTCATTATTGGGTCATATTCTAAAAGTAGTAAGTACTGTTTTTTTTTTTTAATTTCTTGAACAAAACTTGTACTTGTGTATGTATACATGTATGTATTAACTATTATTTCAAAGTCTTGTTTATCAATGGTCAAATATTCATACATTGACATTGTTTTTACATTAATTATGTTGATTGCTGTTGATTGCACTATAAAGCAATGAAAAGTGTACTAATGAACAATAGTTCAACAAGGTACTTACATAAAGGTAACTCCTCAAAACAGTTTTTTGACAGACTGGGCAAGAAGATTTTGTGTTTGATCCTTCTTCTTCACCAACAATTTGAGCCTGAGCAATCATATCTTTAATTTGGCTAGCAGGTACAGGTACACTTTCTCTTCTCCTTCCCCTTAAACTCTCTGCATTCTCATAAGACTCAAACATATTTTCCTCAACTGCCCTTGATTCTCCTTTTCTCTTTGTAAAGATTTTTATTTTGTTTTTAATTGACGATTCTGAGTCTATCCCTTTATCGAACTCATCTGACATATCCTCATCAGCTTCCGATTCTGTTGCTGCGGTATTCATAACAGCATTTTTCTTTTTTACATTCACTGTTCTAGTTGATTTATCTGATTTTTTCCCATTCACCCCAATTTCATATGTTTCTGAATGATCTCCGTAATTAACTGTGATTTTTTGAATAGCTATACTACTTTCAGATTTGTCTCCAATGCTTTCCCGAGATTTTGATGGTGTGTCCACCCCTTCACTAGCATCGCCTAAACTCTCATCCATGTCTTCATCATTAATGTTTTCACACTCCATATCATCATCTCCATCATCTTCTGTCACTTCAGTTTTAACTACTTCACCAAACTCAGGCAAAGCAACACTTCCCCTGAACAACGATCCTGCACATCTTCTTCGTCTAGGAAGTCCTTGTCGTTTCTCAGGATCAACAATGTATAATTCTGCACTGCTGTAGTTTTCGCAGAAGTGATCATGCATTAGACAAAGGGTGGCAAACTGTTGTTTACAAACCCCACATGAATAGAATTTGGCTGAATGATCATACTTGTCTTCTAGTACAGCAGTATCTTCATTGTCTTCTTCCTCATCATCATCACCATTTGTACAAGAATGGAAGAATTCAGCAGTTACCATGTCACTGTGCAGATCAAAGTGCTTACAGTACTCCTTAATTCTATTAAATCTATAGCCACATATACCACAAACAAATGGATAGAGGCCATCATCCTCATCATAAGGCTCTTGTTTGACTAATCTCACAGCTGTTTCTTCCATTTTCACAATACCCACTTTCTGTATCTGAAATTCAAGCCACATACGTGTATTTTTTATTAATCAATTTAGACATTTTTGCATTTCGCACAGAAACAATTGCATATAAAACATCTATAGGTTTTCTGCACTAATAACTAATTAAAAACTATGATTGAAATACTATTATTGTTATCAGTCATTATTAATTTATTTTCATTGTATTCATGTTCATTCCCCAGGGCCGGCAAAATCTGATTTTGACTTACTTGACTGTTAATACACTAAATCAATTAATGCACAAATTAGAACATAAACAATTTTGTCTAAGTTAATATCCCTTATTATCCGTTTATCAACTACAATGTTGCATCTAGGCTGCACGATTGCAAGATTTGCGCATGTTTTTTACAGATCACGCTAGTGTTGTCCAGATTGTCGCTCAAAATTGAAAACTACTCAAACCACACCAACGTCGGCGACAATCAATAGTCCTTTTTAAAAACTGATTGTTTTAGTGTTCTTGACCCATGAAAATTCTGAAATGCACTTGTCTGAAATCATTTTTGACCCATGAAAATTTCCGATGGATGCCTGGAAATTTTACTGTTTGTCAATTCAATAAGTGCCGTTGCAAGAATTTCGCATCAACAAAATTAGCCCCGTATACAGGTACAGTAGACGTGACGCATTATCTGCATTAAAGCAGTTTAAGCCAATCACTGATGGGTATACTTGTGGTTAAAGACTATTTACACTAGGCACTTCCTTCCTAGTTCTGTTAAATTTCTCTAATTTTGTTACATTTCAATGAATTGATGTATTATGACATCGACTTTCTTTTCCTAAAGAAGCAAAATTTATGTATTACATCATTTGTTTTTGCCTGTTATTACAATTAGTTATGATATTCTTTTCACCCACGATATAGTCCGCTACATTAGTCTCGGTGAAAATTACATTTTATAAATTTCACTTGAGGTTTATCTGATATATTACAGCAAAACACTGGAAAGCATGAAATAAATCTTTTATTACGAAATAAAATAATAACATAGCTTTGGGATTAATAAAAAATATTTTATTTAAATTGATTATCCGACAATTTTATCTATCCGAAGACTTTTCAGATCGGGAATTAAAAATATTCATTTTGCAGGAAAAAACACTAATTTTCCATGCTTAACTTGAAATAAAATGACAAAAAATGTATATTGCAATAAGTTTACCGGTGTAAGACTATATGAATCGTATCTCAATTCATATCAAACGCCAAAACAAAATCAGACTTTAAAAGAGACGCTTTCCGCCTTCCACTGTTTTCCGACTTCCGGTTACCTGACACGTGATAAAGTCCGTAAAATGGTCTTACGCCACTAAATTATAGGACACCTCTTTGGAACTACAACCATTGAAGTTTGTATTTAATAAATTCATTTACGAAATAAAACGAGCTCCTTATTTTGTAGATCGTCTAGTGAATCCTGCTTAGTGTAATCGTTAACGATTTTGAAGCAGGATAATGTAGATGTAGATCAATTTATGAAAACAAAGTATACAAGGTTGTTGATTGATTGGCTCATAATTTTACATATAATTATGTAAAATGACTTATCAAGTCAACCGCTTCCGCAGTCGAGGGGTTAGAGTCGATGACTTCCAATCCAGTAACCTCTCTGTCGTGGGTTCGATCCCCGGGAGATACTTTGGTAGTTTTATTAGCACGGAGGAAGGTAGTCTAGTACTGGTGTGTAACTCTCCAGGAACGATGGTTATGAAACTATACCCGCCTATATGACTGAAATACTGTTGGGAAAAGGCGTAAAATGAAACAAACAAGCAAAACTTATTAATTAAATATACAGATATACAGTACTTTTTTATTTGTGTTTTCAAACATTATAGTTTTCTGATTGGTCAATTTTCTGGACCATATCTTTTGCTTCTATGGCCTTTATAGGCAATTATAGCCTATATATTTTAAGTCGTGGATTAAAGAAAGCTTTGGTCACATCATTTCCATCATTACTTTTAAAATCAAAGTGCTGCAGCACTGAATGCGACGGACATGCAACCGGAGAGACATTATGGCTTTTTTTTTTTAAAAAAAAAAAAAAAAAACAAAAAACAAAAACATCACAAAAGATATAACAGAGAAAATTTGTTCCATACAAGTTCGAGATTTGTAGAGCAATATATTTTATGTGTCCTATTCTGATATAATTCTGATTTTCTACTTTCAATCAGAACAAGTCCAAATTTTTAAATACAGAATGAAATTTATGCCTAAAAACTCTGGTCAAACTTGTAAATCAGTGTCCTTATCGATTTATTCCAAGAAATGATATGCAAATAAAAAAAAAAACTGACTAAAATAAAACCATGCAAATAAACTTCAATCATAATACATAATACATGTGAGAATGTTAATTAGAATTGCTTCGTGTTATATCATAGTGGGCATATAGATAATAAAATATAAGTTATTTGTATTTTTATTTGTATTTCTCTTGGATATGTCTCATTAAAAATATTTTTGGTTAAAATCATCAGCAATTAATGGTGTATTTTTTTTAGATTTTTTTTTCATTTACGTCGCTTAAGCACTACAGTGTTTAGCTGTCCCTTTAAATTTCACACTAAATTCCATTTTCAACTTGTTTGCTTACAATTGTATAGAATTTCTTAAAGTATTGCATGTAAACAAAGTAAGTATCCGCTGGTTTATTACATGTATAATGTGTACTCGTCCGAAAGTCAGCACAGATGATGCAGAATCAATTTTTAGAATAGTGTTATCTTCTGGCTATTATAATCTCATAGCAGGTTAACTCATATCGTGACCTAGAAAACTATGTAAACAAAACACAAGAATCGGAAGTAGAACTGATATTATAACTTCCTTCAATAAAGATTACCATGAAAGACTATATGATGGTAAAGTGTTGAAAAACTCCCTTGTTACATGCATTTTCAAAAATAGAAGAAGAAGAAGAAGAATCTTTATTTTGCAAATTAACTCTCAAAAGAGTCATGTACAAGCATTCATGATATATACAATTACATGTATGCATAAGTAAATAACTAATTACATAGCAAGATGACGTGACTGCAAGTATTTCTTTTCTTTCATTATTATAATGGTTACCATTGATTATATATTTAATTTACAAGTTTTTTACTTTTTGAGAGATTCTACATTCAAATATATAATAATAAGAAATACTTCGTGTATGTATTAGGCTTGCAATCACGGGAGAGACATTGTCAGCATTTATTACATAGTATACTTTAAATTATCTTCCATAATATCTTCAAAAATAGATATTCGTAATACTAACCATTGTAATGTACATAGTCTAATTTATTAATAACTGCTGAATATTCAGCTAAACCCGCGGTATGCGTCACGAAAAGAGTTCTTCTTTTATTATTGCGCGAGTTATTCTAAAGTCACGAAAAACTTTTGATCTGTTAATAAAAATGTTTTGTATAATGGGGGAAATGTTTATTTCCTGCTTATAATTTCTATGAATTATTGAGCTTACTCCTTAATTATAGCATAATTTGCTGTCCTACTTTTTCGACAGCGGTAAATCGTTTCAGCAGTTATATGCATAATTGCGCAATAATACTACGGGGCTACAGCGTTTTTATCAATCAAATACGTTTATATTTTAACTTGGATAACTTAATTTGAAATTGAAAAGGCTAAATATGGAAGTTTTTAAGATAGCCCGACGAAGTATGGGAGTATCATAGGATCAAATTCATGTACTTTTTCGTGGGCTGTTATTCGGTTGAGGACACATTGCGCGATTGTAGCCAACGAAATCCCATGTGTAGATGACATAGCTCTGAACGCGCCTGAGGGCGCGTCCGCCGCAAAAAGTGACGATTGGCAAAATTATGTTCAAAAGCAAATCATTGTATATAATTTATGCCGTACTTATGTATCATTTGAAAAAAGTTGCACTGGAAGGCTATACTTATATATAGTGATGGAAGTCAAAATACCGCTTTATTTACATTTTTCTAGTTTTATGACACATAATTTCACATTCAGTGCAACTTTTTTCAAATGATACATAAGTACGGCATAAATTATATACAATGATTTGCCTTTGAACATAATTTTGCCAATCGTCACTTTTTTTAAGTAATGATGGAAATGATGTGACCAAAGCTTTCTTTAATCCACGACTTAAAATATATTCCATGCTCAAATATGATGATCTATTTGAAACTTGAAACTTTTTATTTAATTAAACGCCTGTTTCTATTTAACAATATTCAACGGCGTTGTACAATACATATAAATATTAAGAATAAAATTGTGAATGCATAAGAATATGTGGATCAACATCAAGTGAAATAAAAGCTTTTACATACAATTCCAATTAACATATTTTTAAAAAATTGCAGAGACCATAAAATGATAAAACTGATTGATATACATGTAGCATGAGATAAGATTATGTACATACATGTAACTTGATTACAAATAGATTAAAAGGAACAAAACATTCATTTACATTGCACATTCATCACACTGTCAGTCATCAGTTATACGTTACTCATGTTTATCTTATTTCAGATTTTAAAATAGTGATTTAAACTTTCTGAAAAAAATGTGTTTTAAGATTTCTCTTAAATACATCAATATTCTTAGATTGTTTCAACTCTAATGGCAGCGGATTCCACAATTTTGGACCAATAGTTCCGAAACTTCTGTCACTAAATGTTTTTCTTTTATTGAATGGAATAACGTAGCAGTTCTCAGAGGTTTTAGCTGAACGTAGTCGGGTATTTGGTACTTGTTTGGTTAGGAGTTCAGAAAGGTATTTTGGAGCATGACCGATTGAACAATTGTATACAAAAGTCAAAATTTTATATTCGATTCTAGATTTGATGGGCAGCCAGTGAAGGTCGAACAGTGCTTGCCTTGAACTGTCAAATTTCTTTCGTTGCAGAACTAACTTAGCGCACATGTTTTGAATACGTTGCATTTTTTTCAATTCAAAATCGGATACACCATAAAGAATGACATTGCAATAATCCAAGTGTGACATTACGAGTGCTATAACTAGTATTTCAGCTGCTTCTTTGGTGAGGTATTTTCGGACACGTTTTATTCTAAGATAGTTTAACATTGCAGTACGGCACTTTCGTTTGACATGTTCCTTGAAATTTAGTGTTTGGTCTAGAAATGCGCCCAAATATCTAATGGACTCCTCGGAGTTGATCTTATCTCCGTTAATACAAATGGATTTTAGGTGACACTTTTCGAGTTGTTGAGAACTTCCAAATGTTATGAATTCTGTTTTCGATGAGTTCATCTTGAGTTTATTAGCGTTCATCCAGTTGTTGATATCAATCGCACCATTTTCTAATTCAGCTAATAGATCTATACACTATGGCTGACACAATATGAATGTATAGTGCCATTAAACACTCTGGAAGATTTTTAAAAAAGAAAGTACCAATTAACTTTACTAGATATATTCAGAACTGACATACATTTCTAACGCAAAACAAATAGTTTTTTCATAATTGTGGGTTAAGATAACATTCTGAAATTTCACCAGGTTGGGTTTTCCCACTTTCTGGTGATAATCTGTACTAAACGTAGAACATGTTTGAATGAATTCAACTTTCTGCATGAGAAATGTTATCTGGGCGTTAGATTATCGATTTTCTAGATGGTTGGGATTTCAATCACGCAAGAAATTTCAATAATCTAAAAGTTTTGGCGAGTGTTTTCGTATTACATATATAAACAAAAGTTTTACGACGACCTCGGTGTCGTCATTACAAGAACTTCTGACAAGTTATCATAAGAACTCCATCCCTCATGTAACAGTTCCTCCCCCGTGGTATAGGAAAGTATTTTTAACTTCCATTTACACGAGAGAGGAACTGTTACGCGAGGGATGGAGTTATTATGATACATTGTAACTTGTCAGGAGTTATTGTGATAACTGTCACGGAGTTCGTCGGAAAACTTTAATTTTGTATAAATTACAGAAACACTCGTCAAAAAATGGTCATTTTCATCTTTAAAAATGCGTTTTATGAAACTTTAATGATTAAGCTTGCCTTACATCTTGTATTATGTGTCAAATACTAATTAATATTCCATTTTTTCAGCGCCTCTTGTTTAAAATCTGGTAGTTTTGAGTAAAATTCCATTAAATAACTGTTCACGGGTGTTTTTTCTATTAGAATGTATACATACATGTATTTAAAATGATATTGCATAATCTTTGTCTACTTACCATGTATTTCTATCTTCATTCCTGATCAATTTATATATTTAGTACTTGGTACGTATTTACATAATTATACGCAAAGGACTATCGTCGTAT